TTAGAACTCCAGATTAAGAAATTCACTGAAAACCACACAGCTACATGGAAATTAAACTTGCTCCTGAATGACTTGTGGATAAATAATGAAATTAAGGCAGAAGTCAAGAAGGTCTTTGAAATTAGTGAGAAAAAGAGATGCACTGGGCGTGGTGGCTCATCCCTGTAATCCCAGCACTTTGGGAGGCCAAGGTGGGCAGAGCACGCAGTCGAGACCATCCTGGCCAACATGGTGAAACCCTGTCTCTAAAAAAAAGAGAGAGAAAGAGATAATATACCAGAATCTCTGGGACACAGCTAAAGCAGTGTTAAGAGGGAAATTTATAGCACTAACTGCCCACATCAATAAGCTAAAAAGATCTCAAGGTAACAACCTAACATCACAACTAAAAGAGCTAGAAAACCAAGAGGAAACAAACCCCAAAGCTAGCAGAAGGCAAGAAATAGCCAAGATCAAGGAACCGAAGGAGATACAAACACACACATACACACACACACACACACACACACACACACACACACACACACACAACCTTCAAAAAAATCAACAAATTCGGGAGCTGTTTTTTGGGGAAAAAAATTAATAAAATGATCTGCTAGCTAGACTATTAGAAAAAAGAGAAGAATCAAATAACACAATAAGAAATGATAAGCAGGATATCACCACTGACCCCACAGAAATACGTACAACCATCAGAGAATACTATAACTACCTCTATGCACATAAACTAGAAAATCTACAACAAAAAAATGGATAAATTTCTGGACACATATACCTCCCAAGACTCAACCAGGAAGAAATTGAATCTCTTAATACACCAATAATGAGTTCTAAAATTGAGGCAGTAATAAGTAGCCTACCAACCACAAAAAACCCAGGACCAGACAGATTTACAGCTGAATTCTGCCAGAGGTACAAAGAAAACCAAGTACCATTTCTATTGAAAGTATTCCAAAAAATTGAAAAGGAGAGATTCCTCCCTAATTCATTTTATGAAACCAGCATCTTCCTGATACCAAAACCTGGCAGAGTTACAACAAAAAAAACTTCAGGCCAATAGCCCTGATGAACATCGATACAAAAATCCTCAGCTGGGCACAGTGGCTCACGCCTGTAATCCCAGCTCTTTGGGAGGCTGAGGTGGGTGGATCACCTGAGGTCAGGAGTTCAAGACCAGCCTGACCAATATGGTGAAACCCCGTCTTTAAAAAAAAAAAAAAAAGAACAAAAATCCTCAGTAAAGTACTGGCAAACCCAATCTAGCAGCATATCAAAAAGCTTATCCACCACCATCAAGTGGGCTTTATCCCTGGGATGCAAGGTTGGTTCAACGTTCGCAAATCAATAAACATGATTTGTCACATAAACAGAACTATGGATAAAAACCACATGATCTCAATAGATGCAGAAAAGGCCTTTGATAAAATTCCAACATCGCTTCATGTTAAAAATTCTCAGTAAACTACTGCCCAAAGTAATTTATAGATTCAATGCTATTCCCATTAAACTACCATTGACATTCTTAACAGAATTAGAAAAAACTGTTTTAGAATTCATATGGAACTGAAAAAGAGCCTGAATAACCAAAACAATCCTAATTAAAAAGATCAAAACTAGAAGCATCATGCTACCTGACTTCAAACTGTACTACAAGTCTACTGTAACCAAAACAACATGGTACTGGTACCAAAACTGACACACAGACCAATAGAATAGAATAGAGACTCAGAAATAAGACTGCATACCTACAACAATCTGATCTTCAACAAACCTGACAAAAGGAAGCAATGGGGAAAGGATTCCCTATTTAATAAATGGTGCTGGGATAACTAGCTAGGCATATGCAGAATATTGAAACTGGACCCCTTCCTTATACCTTATGCGAAAATTAACTCAAGGTGGATTAAAGACTTAAATGTAAAATCCAAAACTGTAAAAACCCTAGAAGAAAATCTAGGCAATACCATTCAGGACATAGGCACCGGCAAAGATTTCATGTCAAAAATGCCAAAAGCAATAGCAATGAAACCAAAAATTGACAAATGGGATCCAGTCAAACTAAAGAGTTTCTGCACAGCAAAAGAAACTATCATCAGAGTGAAGAGACAACCTACAGAATGGGAGAAAAATTTTACAATCTATCTGTCTGACAAAAGGTCTAATATTCAGAGTCTACAAGGAACTTAAATTTATAAGGGGAAAAAAACCCACTTTGGGAGGCCAAGGCAGGCAGATCACCTGAGATTGGGAGTTCGAGACCAGCCTGACCAACATGGAGAAACCCCGTTTCTACTAAAAATACAAAAAAATTAGCCACGCATGGATGGGGTGTGCTTAACCCAGGAGGCAGAGGTTGCAGTGAGCCAAGATGATGCCATTGTACTCCAGCCTGGGTGATAGAGCAAGACACTGTCTTGAAAAAAAAAAAGTAAAAGGTGGACAAAGGACATGAACAAACTTCTGAAAAGAAGGCATGCATGTGATTAACAAACATGAAAAAAGCTCAACGTCACTGATCATTAGAAAAATGCAAATTAAAACCGCAGTGAGATACCATCTCATACCAGTCAGAATGGCAATTATTAAAAAGTCAAAAAACAACAGATGCTGGCAAGCTTGCAGAGAAAAATGAATGCTTTCCTACCATTGGTGAGAGTACAAATTAGTTCAACTGTTGTGGGAAACAGTGTGGTGATTCCTAAAGATCTAAAGGTAGAAATACCATTTGATCCAGCGATCCCATTACTGTGTATATACTCAAAGGAATATAAATTATTCTCTTATAAAGATACATGTATATGTATATTCACTGCAGCACTATTCACAATAGCAAAGACATGGAATCAACCCAAATCCCCATCAATGATAGACTGGGTAAAGAAAATGTCATATATATACACCGTGGAATACTGTGCAGCCATCAAAAGGAATGAGATCACATCCTTTGCAGGGGCATGGATGGAGCTGGAAGCTGTATCTGTGGCAAACTAATGCAGGAACAGAAAACCAAGCACTACATGGTCTCACTTATAAGTGGGAGCTGAAGAATGGGAACACATGGATACTTGGTGGGAAACAACACACACTGGGGCCTTTGGGGGACTTGGAGGATGAGGGAGAGCATCAGGAAGAATAGCTAATAGATGCTGGGCTTAATACCTAGGTGATGGGATGATCTGTGCAGCAAACCACCATGGTACACATTAACCTATGTAACAAACCTACACATCCTGCACATGTACCCGTGAACTTAAATGTTGAAGGAAAAAAAAATTGTTAATGAGGCAGATGACTCTGGAGGGAACATTTTGCAAAACCATCCAACAGAATGTCTCTTCATCCCTAGAGGACCCAGTTGCTGGTCCCTCGATTGCTTCTCATGTTTCTTCTCATCTGAAAAAAGTAAAACACAGTAGGCAGTAACCTTTCCATCAAAACAGCATAGTATTTGGAGACTGAAAGCCTGCTGCTGTCTGTTGCTGTCATCTGACAGCTGAGACAGGTATTCTGGTCATGCTACTGCGCTGCATAGTTACCTGAACACATTATTTTTTTAAACTGTATTAATGCTATGTCATATTTTTTACTGTCAGGTACATGTGTAAGTTTGAGAAAATAATTGCTTATCAGTAATATGTGAATTCAGAGTCAGGAATAATGGTGATGCCAAACAAGCTCAGATTGTCCACATGGGTGGCTGAGATAGTGACACCTTTGCTTTCTGATGCTTCCATGTATACAAACTACTTCATGCACAGAATTATTACACATATGTATAAAATAACCTCCAAGCTGTAAGTGTAACATATATATGAAAGATAAATAAATTTCATGATTAGACTTGGTTCTCATCCCCAAAGTAGTTCATAATGTATTTGCAAATATTCCAAAATGTGAAAAAACCCAAAACACCTCTGGTCTCAAGCATTTCAGATAAGCGATATTCAGTCTGTATAGCTAAATATTACCACACCCACAAGAAGAGATTATACTTGTATTATACAAATAGCTAAAGGAAATAGAAAAAGATTAAATACTACCCAACTAACTTAATGATGTTAGTGTAACCTTGATTCTAAAAGGGAAAAGGGTAGCACAGGAAAAGGAAGAGGGAAATCTATTTTATTTGTAAACACAGATGCAAAAAATGTAATAACCTAATCAAATCCAACATTGCATTGATTGATTGATTGATTGATTGATTGAGACAGAGTGTTGCTCTGTCACCCAGGCCAGAGCACAATGGTGCGATTCTCCTCTCCACGACCTCTGTCTCCCAGGTTCAAGTGATTCTCCTACCTCAGCCTCTTGAGTAGCTGGGATTGCAGGCATGTGCCACCATGATCAGCTAATGATTTTGTATTTTTTTAGTATAGATGGGGTTTCACCATGTTGGCCAGGTTAGTTTCGAACTCCTGACTTCAGGTGATCCACCTACCTCGGCCTCCCAAAGTGCTGGGATTACAGGCGTGAGCCACCACACCATGGCCCAGGATTGCATTTGAAAGTACTGAATAAACAGTTTTTTATCTAGAAATTGACTTAAAAACTTAATAAGAGTTTAAAGAAAATACCTTCAGACTAGTTTCACTATAGTCCTAGGTTTTAAAACATCTTCACCCAGGCATGGTGGTTCACACCTGTGATCCCAGCACTTTGAGAGGCTGAGGTGGGTGGATCACCTGAGTCAGGAGTTCGAGACCAGCCTGGTCAACATAGTGAAGCCCCATCCCTCCTAAAAATACAAAAAACTTAGCTGGGCGTGGTGGCACACACCTGTAATCCCAGCTACTCAGGAGGCTGAGGCAGGAGAATCACTTGAACCCAGGAGGCAGAGGTTGTGGTGAGTTGAGATTGGGAACTGCACTCCAGCCTGGGTGACTCTATTTCGAAATAAATAAAATAAAACATTTTCATCAACCTCTGCTAATCTGTAGAAAATTTCAAATTACCATGAAATGCAATACAACAGAACTTATAAGATATGTCTCACAAAACAGATGCCAACGTCAGTAGCTCAGACAGTTGTCCAGAAAGAAAGTGGCCTGCAGCACACCCGAAAGATGCTGTATGTCGGTGACCCAAGCGTGAAAAAAACAGCCATCTCGCTGCTGAGGAATCTGTCCCGGAATCTTTCTCTGCAGAATGAAATTGGTGAGTCCATATGAGTCTCTACATGTAATATGCACAAACTGAAGATACAATGCAATGAAGCGTTGTCTGTATCACCTTCTGTTCACAGAGCTGCACTGGAAATGGGAGTAAGGAGTAGGTGATAAATCTGCCTGCCTTTTGTGCAGCCAGATATCACAAACAGGCTTTCTGAGTGGATCTCACCAGAGATTTTTTAAAATATCTAATTTTTTTAAATTACTACAAGAGAGAAATTTTAGGGCATACTGATAATTAACGAGATAAGTAATATTGTTGTTACTTTTCCCTGGGTGGCCCCCTCAGTCACACCCCCCAGTGAAGTCTTTCTAACCCATATAGTTGTCTTTCAGAATGTTTTCTCTGTGACTCTCTTAAGCACCACTATTCTAGAACATTTGAAAAACAAATGTAGTGGTGGTTTACTTTAGTAGTTTGGCAGCATGTTGAACTTTTAAAAAATGGATAAACAGATAATCGCAATAAAAAGACAAAAAGAAGGAGCCACTGAATATAGCAGATTTGGCGTGGATTTTTTTTTAGTAACTGATCAGACATATTTTGCCTTTGACTCTGTATTATTGACAGATGATAACTATGTTACATTATCAAATAACGTAACTTTTTGTTTACTTATACCAAGAAGTATGTGATAAATGTTTGTTGTATTAAGTAAAAAAATTACAAAATAAGGCGAAGCACAATAGCTCATGCCTATAATCCTAGCACTTTGGGAGGTGGAGGTAGGTGAATTGCCTGAGCTTAGGAGTTCGAGACCAGCCTGGGCAACGTGGCGAAGCCCTGTCTCTACTAAAAATACAAAAAAATTAGCTGGGGGTGGAGGTGCACACCTGTAGTCCCAGCTACTCAGGAGGCTGAAGCAGGAGAATCTCTTAAACTCAGGAGGCAGAGGTTGCAGTGAGCCAAGATTTTGCACCATTGCACTCCAGCCTGGGTAACAGAGCAAGACTCTGTCTCAAAAAAAAATTACAAAATGAAATAATAGAAAGATAATGCTAAAATTAAACATGCTTCACAGTGCTCTGTAAACCGGTCATTTCTAACAACTCAAATTGTTTTTCACAAAATTTCACAAAAATTAGAAATAACATTTTGTTTGTTTGTTTTAATGGATTAGATATTTAAATATGCACATACACAATCCCAGAGATACTGAAGGCTGCAGTTATATTTTAGTAATGTCATTTTCAAAGCCAGCCAGCAGCACATTTGACAGGAGGTTTTATACAATGGCTTCATGCCCATTATGAGTAGAGATAGCCTGGAAAATTCTCAGTGAATCTAAAAGAGACCTCGCCATAGGCACTCTCAAAATTATTAAATGCTCTCCCCATGGTCTTTTGTGCTGAATTTGAATAGAAGTGTATTATCCTTTCCACTTTTTGTTATTTTCCCAAATGAAAAATCGACTCTGTCTTTAAAACATTGCCAGAGTAAATAACAGCACTGTACACATTGTGCATGTACCTTCAGGGCAGAAATGCTGCTGGCCTCAGGTTCCCTAAATGTTGGGAAGGTATAGCTATAGCCACATGGTTTATGTTAGATGATTCTGTTGATAAACTTCACTTAAGGATAACAGAGAGAAGAGGCTTCAGCAAAATAAATGCAATTTTAAAATTCCAAATTCATTTCATGTCAAATATGTAAGTACAAGGACTTCCTTCTCTTGATTCAGAATTTAATAGCCAGAAATAAATGAAAATCAGCTTGAACACATGCTTTGTGTTTCTCATGAGAGCTTTTCTAAGCCAGGTAACTTTCCCTGTTTTGACCTGCAATAAAGTTGTTACATTTTACTTACCTCTAGAGAAATAAACTTGAAACTTACATTTTCTGAAAATCTTAAAGACAGGCAATGTAGCATGGTAACAGAATAACAGATTTCACACAGAAGACATGGGTGTGTATCTCACAGTGCTATTTTGCCAGTCAAGGCCTTTCATTCTATAGTTGAACTTAATAAAAGGAAAAGGCCTTCTGATAATGGCATCCATTGAGAGCTTACCACATGCGCAGGACTATGATACAGTTAACATGCATTGACTCATTTCCTCAAAACAACCCTGTGAAGTGGACAATATTATCCCACATTGCAACTTAGGGAAAAACAGAGAGCTTAAGTAGCTTGCTCAGGCAATAGAGCCGTAAATTAGTAGCAGAACCATGACTGAAACTAAAGCACTCTGGCTTTAGACAAACACTGAGCTCTCCACAGTAGGCTGTGTGCTTGAACCACAGTTAAAAAAAAAAAAAAAAAAAAAGTGTTCAGGCCTGTGAGCAGAAGGTATGTCTTACCTGTCAATCAGGTCCAGGTATTATGATGACATATAATATGACTTGTCTGTTTCAGGAATAATGATTAATGCTAGAAACACGGAAATAAGTGAGATAATAGGCTTCAAGGAACCCACAGGCCTCATCTGAAGTTGAGACAGTCACACAATTCATTACAATCCAGTATCATAGAGAGAGAAATGTGTTTCAAGATGCCACATGAATGCAGATGAAGGCACACAATAAAATTAGTATTTGTGAATCCCTGATAAACACAACATGTATTCAGGAGCTGTGAGGATCAGCAAAAGCAAAAGATGCATGCGCTCTGTCTTTTAAGAAGACTCTAAAGTGGTTAGAGAAAAAAGAAGAAAACATACATGAAAATAACTGTTACAAAAAGTTTAGGTACAAGTTCACATTGACCAAAACATGTTATCATAGGACAGGTTCTAGTGGGCTTTTCAAATATTAATACCTTTTTAAATTTTTCAATGGCTTTTTTGGTACAGGTGGTGCTCATTACATGGATAAATTATTTAGTGATGTTTTCTGAGATTTTGGTGCACCTGTCACCTGAGCAGTATACACTGTACCCAATGTGTAGTCTTTTATCCCTCACCCCCTTTCTCCCAAGGACCCCAAATCCATTATATCACTCTTATCCCTTTGCCTCCTCATAGGTTAGCTCCCACTTATAAGTGAGAACATACAATATTTGCTTTTCCATTCCTGAGTTATTTCATTTAGAATAGTGGTTTCTAGTTCCATCCAATTTGCTGCAAAGGCCATTATTTCTTGCTTTTTAACGGCTGAGTAGTATTCCATGGTGTATATATACCACATTTTCTTTACCCATTTGTTGGTTGATGGGTATTTAGGTTGATTCCTTATTTTGCAGTTGTGAATTGTGCTGCTGTAGACATGCATGTGCAAGTGTCTTTTTCATATAATGACTTCTTTTCCTTTGGGCAGATACCCAGTAGGGGGATTGCTGGATCAAATGGTCTTTCTACTTTTAGTTCTTTACGGAATCTCCATACTGTTTTCCATAGTGGTTATACTAGTTTACATTCCCACCAGCAGTGTAGAAGTGTTCCCTTTTCATTACATCCATGCTAACTAACATCTGTTATGTTTTGATTTTTAAATTATGGTCATTCTTGCAAGAGTAAGGTGGTATCTCATTGTGCTTTTAATTTGCATTTCCGTGATAATTAGTAACGAGCATTTTTTTCATTTGTTTGAAGCATATCAAAAAATTTTCATGTCCCATTTGTATATCTTCTATTGAGAATTGTCTATTCATGTCCTTAGGCCACTTTTTTGATGGAATTATTTGGTTTTTTTCTTGCTGATTTGTTTGAGTTCTTTGTAGATTCTGGATATTAGTCCTTTGTCAAATGCAGATTGTGAATATCTTCTCCCACTCTATGGGTTGTCTGTTTACTATGTTGATTATTTCTTTTGCTGTGCAGAAGATTTTTAATTTAATTAGGTCCCATTTTCTTATTTTTGGTTTTGTGGCATTTGCTTTTGGGTTCTTGGTCATGAACTCTTTGCCTAAGCCAATGTCTACAAGAGATTTTCTAGTGTTACCTTCTAGCATTTTTATGGTTTCAGGACTCAGATTTAAGTCTTTAATCCATCTTGAGTTGATTTTTGTATAAAGTAAGAGATGAGGATCCAGCTTCATTCTTTTACATGTGGCTTGCCAATTATTCCAGCACCCTTTGTTGAACGTCCTTTCCACACTTTATGTTTCTGTTTGCTTTGTCAAAGATCAGTTGGCTGTAAGTATTTGGCTTTATTTCTGGCTTCTCTATTCTGTCTATATGTCTTTTTCATTTTCTATAGCCTAATTTTGGAAGTGATGTGTCTACTTTTTTAATACTTGTTAGTACAAAAAAAAAAGCCAAACTCAAACTTATAACCTAGAAGTTATATACATAGTGGAAATGTACATTTAAAATAGTTTCTCTTTGTAAAATAGTAGTATTATTTACGTATTGAAAAAGCCTTGGAAAGCACAGTTTGTTTGTTTATTTATTTATTTATTTATGCTTTTTAAATAGAAAAAGGGTCTCGTTATATTTTCCAGACTGGTCTCAAACTCCTGGGCTCAAGTGCTCCTCCTGGCTCGGCCTTCCAAAGTGCTGGGATTACAGACATGAGCTGCTGTGCCTGGCCTTAAATTATTTTAGTTCACTATTAATACTGTTGTAGAAAAACAGCTCCTATTAACGTTTTTCCTCAGGTTTCTTATGTAGTGTTTCTTTTTTTTTTTTTTTTGGTGATATTATAGTTTTTGGTTGGTTGCTTGTTTTTGGAGACAAGGTCTCTCTGTTACCCAGGCTTGAGTATAGTGGTATGATCTCTGCCCACTGCAGCCTCCACCTCCCAGTTCAAGTGATTCTTGTGCATCAGCCTCCTGAGTAGTTGGGACTACAGGCACAGGCATACACCACTACACCCAGCTAATTTTTGTATTTTTAGTAGAGACGAGGTTTCACCATGTTGGCCAGGCTGGTCTTGAACTCCTGACCTTAAGTGATCCATCCGCCTTGGCCTCCCAAAGTGCTGGGATTACAGGTGTGTGCCACTGCGCCTGACCAATAATATTATGTATTCTTTATATAAATAAGTATACTGATTTTTCACGTATACTATTAATGTAATTATTTTCTTGTTATTATACATGCTTCATAGATATGTGTTGTAATGAATAATAGTCTTTGCAGGTGTGTTTTAGTTCATCATATTCCTATTCTTAGGATATTGAGGCTTTTTGGTTTTTCATTTACTTGTATTACTGTCATAAAGCTCTCTGTAGAAAGCTTTTTTCATTTTCAAAGTAATATCTTTAAGATGTATTCCTAGACATGGAATTACTGAATTGAAGAAGGTGAAATATTTTTAAGTTCCTGACATTTCTGCCAGATTACATTCTGAAAAAATCTTCCATGTGCTGAGCACAGAGTATCCTCTTTTCAAGGAGTTTTAAAAATTTGTTATTAGGGAAGTTATATCTTTCCATGTGTTGTTAACCAGCTGTGTTTCTTTTTAAGAATGTTCTTTACTGAAAACGTATTGGGATCTTGGGATTAAGAAACAACCTTTTTAATCCAGTGTTCTTTTTTTTCATTTTGTAGCCAAGGAAACTCTCCCCGATTTGGTTTCCATCATTCCTGACACAGTCCCGAGTACTGATCTTCTCATTGAAACGACAGCCTCTGCCTGTTACACATTGAACAACATAATCCAAAACAGTTACCAGAATGCACGGGACCTTCTAAACACCGGGGGCATCCAGAAAATTATGACCATCAGTGCAGGCGACGCGTAAGTCTGTCAGCTGCCTTCCTGTTCCCTCACCACCCTGCGTGTAAATAACCCGGTTGTGAAGGTACAGTCATGAGCATCATGTGCAACATGGCAGCAAACAGGATGTAAAGCCAAGCCAGATCATCTGGTCGGCCCTCAGCGATCACCCAAAAGAAGAACCGAATCCATCATGCCACATGCTTGTCCCCTTTCTTCTAAAGTATCAAGAGAGGGTCAAACTCCAGAGCCTCTCTTGGTAGTGTATTTCAGCATTGTATTGGCCTAATGAATTAGCTTCCCAGAGCCACAGCTGTGATTTAGTAACAGCAGAATGTAGGCAGAGCAGGAGCCCTCTGGACGGGCAGGTACCCTTTTCCTCACTACGATCTTGGGAGGAGACGTCACAGCAGGTGGCTTAGAAGAAGCAGTGATGGCCAGGCACTGTGGCTCACACCTGTAATCCCAGCACTTTGGGAGGCCAAAGCAGGTGGATCACTTGAGGTCAGGAGTTCGAGACCAGCTTGGCCAACATGGCAAAACTCTGTCTCTACTAAAAATACAAAAAATTAGCTGGGTGTGGTAGTGCGCACCTGCAATTCCAGCTACTCAGAAAACAGGCTTGAGAATCGCTTGAGCCCAGGAGGTAGAGGTTGCAATGAGCCGAGATCATGCCACTGCACTCCAGCCTGGTTGACAGAGTGAGGCTCTGTCTCAAAAAAAGAAAAACAGAGAAGCAGTAGCAGTGATGGCACAGGAGAAGCAGTGGAGGGGAGCCTGACAAGAAAGTCTTGCTTTCACAGTTTTTTCTCTATCTTATCTCTTCTACCTCTTATTCCCTTTTAAGAACAGAAGGTCCGGTACATGTCACTCCACATCCCTGTTCCTGTTTTCAACTTTTCCGTATTTTTAAAGAAAAAACAAAGTGGGGACAAGAATGAAAAACCTTGTATAACCAAATTATTTACTATTAATTTAGAGTGATGAGATTGGAAAGGGGCATGAAGATTATCTTTTTCTCTTTATTCAATTCTGAAGTGTTTGACTTGTTACATATAGATACAAGTTACTTTTATAAATAACCAAACAAGAAAAGAAATGGCCACTATAGCCAAGTTCTAATGAATCACAAAGCAGATAACTTCATCTGTGCTGAAGCGCACGTGGCTGCTTGGCTGTACAAGGATGTACATTGTTTCCTCCACCACAGCCCCACCCAATTTAGGCCTCTTCTCCTCTGTAGCCCCACTCTGCAGTGCACATGAGGAAGGAAAACTGCATTCAGAGTCAGATTAAAACAAGCACTGAGCACTGGCTGGAGTGTCAATTCCCCAAGAATATTCACCTGTCCCCAGAGGCTGACAGATAGTATTAGAGTTGCTCGGTCTTTGTGCAAAGAATGAATTACTGCTGCAAAACTGAAATGACCCTTCCTCCAAGTAGTCATCCAAACTTCCAAGGGAAACATTATAAGATAGTATGATGTGACCGAGCACGGTGGCTTATGCCTGGAATCCCAGCACTTTGGGAGGCAGAAGGGGGAGTTTGAGACTAGCCTGGCCAGTATGGTGAAACCCCGTCTCTACTAAAAAATACAAAAATTAGCCGGGTCATGAGGTAAGGAATTCAAGACCAGCCTGGCCAATATGGTGAAACCCCATCTCTACTAAAAAAGTACAAAAATTAGCCAGGTGTGGTGGCACAAGCCTGTAGTCCCAGCCACTCAGGAGGCTGAGGCAGGAGAATCACCTGAACCTGGGAAGCAGAAGTTGCAGTGAGCCAAGATCGCACCACTGCATTCCAGCCTGGGTGAAGAGCAACACTCTGTCCAAAAAAAAAAAAAAAAAAAAAAAAAAAAAAAAAAAAAAAAAAAAAAAAAAAAAAAAAGATAGTATGATGTTTATTATTTGAGTATTCAGATATAACAATTGTTGCACATGGAAATATGCAATTACTTTTGGAAACTTCTGGTAGCTTAGCAAGATAGGGAGTAAGCTACTCTGTTACTTGTTTATTGCCTTGAGTGTCCACTTGTGAGTGAGTCTTCACATGCCCTGTCTCAAAAACAAAAGTTAACAGGAGCTTCTGCCAGTTACGTCTGCTGCTCTTTCCTAACTAGAGTGTTATTTGTCTGACCTATCATTTGTGGGCTAGCCTAGGAACTAATTATCATTTATAACATCACATCTTTGAATAAAGGAGTATCAAGTACCAAACAACCAACTTATAAACAAACTTTATGAATATAACATGCTTGCAATTTAATAACTTTTTACATTTTCGAATATTAGCGACCCATCACTTTCATGGATTTATTTGCCCTTCAGTTTTCGCAAGTGATTCTGAAAAGTCCAGGAGGTACTAACAAGTCTGTGAGATGCTGATTTGACTGATCCTCCCTGCCAGGCTAGTATGGAAGAGAAAGGCTTTTCACTGTTGAAATAACACATGCTCTTCTCTGTACATCTTTGCATTCACTCTCTGGTTTTGGTTTTATGTTTACAAACGCCTATGATATGGGTAAAAAATATCTTTGTTTAAAAAAAAAAAATCAGCCATGTGCTAGTCAGGTGATAGAAAAGAAAGATCTCTAAGGCAGCACTGATCTAAGCCAGAAGTGGGACATTTAGGATAAATTTAAAAGCAGAACATGGGGCAGGCAGGGTGGCTCACGCATATAATCCCAGCACTTTGGGATGTGAGGCGGGTGGATCACCTGAGATCAAGAGTTCAAGATCAGCCTGGCCAACATGGCAAAACCCCATCTCTACTAAAAATAGAAAAATTAGCCAGATATGGTGGTGCACATCTGTAATCCCAGCTACTTGGCAGGCGGAGGCAGGAGAATTGCTTTAACCGGGAGGCAGAGGTTTTAGTGAGCCAAGATCGCGCCATTGCACTTCAGCCTGGGCGACAGAGCGAGATTCTGTCTCAAAAAAAAAAAATAACAAAATAAAAAATAAAAGCCAAACATGAAATACTAAGTACAATGTCAAATGCAGTGGTGACTTGGATTTATAGCAGGAATAAGTTTTCCATTTGCTCTATACTAAAACGTAAAGAGATACTGAAACTGATTTAACAAGGGCTGCCACAAGAATTTCTTTTATTGACTTGAAAAATTACTTTACTCCTACATTCATAGTGTCACAAAAATCATGTCTATTTTTCAGTCATACTTTCATGCATTTTTATTCTGTAAACATACATTATAACCATACAAATATAGATTATATTCTATAAATAATTCAAGGATTTGTAACATGTTTAAGGATATATTCCTTATAAATATCAGGGATTTTCTCTATAAACTCTTTATTTATTAGCACTGTCCTAGTGGTTTAAAAAGAAAACAAAAACAAACATGGTCCCTGCCTTCCAGAGCGCGCTGTCTAATTGGTCACTGAGTGACCTGACTTCATGGACGGCTGCTGGGAGCAGCAGGTGAAGAGTGAAGAAGTCTTACAGAACATCGCCAGGCAGCATCCAGAAGCCTCACTCATTCTGCCTGATCTCAGAATGTTCTTTTCTTTTCAGCTATGCCTCCAACAAAGCAAGTAAAGCTGCCTCTGTCCTCCTGTATTCTCTGTGGGCGCACACGGAGCTCCATCATGCCTACAAGAAGGTAAGAACATGAACAAGGAATGTGTCCTAGTTAACAGAGCCAGGTAATAATGGCCCTCTTGACCCTGGTAAGAAATCACTAAAACACTGCATTTTTTTATATGCCAGTTTTGTTACCTTTCATGTTTCTGTTTGCTTATTCCTAAGGCTCAGTTTAAGAAGACAGATTTTGTCAACAGCCGGACTGCCAAAGCCTACCACTCCCTTAAGGACTGAGGAAAACGAAAAAGTATTCTCAGCTGCAAAAAAAACCCAAAGGAAAACACCTATTTTTCTACTACCCAGCCCAAGAAACGTCAAAAGCATGCCTTGTTTCTATCCTTTTCTATTTCCATGGTTCCCTGAATCCTGCAAACAAATAGAACATAATTTTATGAATCTTCCAGAAGACCTTTGCAAGTTTGCCACCAGTAGATACTGGCCTCAGGCTCTGTTTTACCCCCTACAAATAGTGGTCGTTGTTATTAGGGCTTATGGTGCATGGCCTCCTGGAACCAAAATATGAATTCATGTGGAATGGACATTCATCCAGTAAACAAGGAAAGAAGCTGTTGCATTACTGGGATTTTAAAAGTTTTATTTACATTTATACTCTTTTTCTGGGTCCCTTGTTTTGTCACTCATGTGCACATTGCTTCACCACTGGGCCACGAGTGTATTGTTCTGCAGTGTTGAAACAGACTGGAAATTACAAGAAATATCTGCAGTTATCCAGGAGAAGGTATAATGGCAAAGTTGTTTGTTTCTTTGTTTACCTTGTGCTTGTTTTTATGCCCTTGGGTTGTTTGTTTTTTTCTCTGATTTTTAAATAAGCTTAAGAAATTTAGATTACAGAATATGTATGACTGTAAGAAAAAAATTGAGAAGAAGTGATCATAGCAAATTAAAAAAATCATTTCCTCCCAGAACTTAAAATTAATAAAAATAAAAATCTTTTCCACAGAGAAAGGCAATGGTGATTATAAAATTTAACATTCTCCCAAACATTGAGTGAATGAGATTTTTTGCTAAGGAAATACTTTACCTGTAACACATCATTAAATGCAAATCTCTTCTAAACAATGGCATTCAGTGCAGTGTCTTTCTTGGGCTTTTTTGGCCACTGCCCTGAACTAGTAGAAGAATGGACTCTAGTCTTTTTTTTTTTTTTTTTTTTTTTTAGATTTAGTTTCACTCTTGTTGCCTGGGCTGGAGCACAATGCTGCAATCTCAGCTCACTGCAACCTCTGCCTCCCAGGTTCAAGTGATTCTCCTGCCTCAGCCTCCCAAGTAGCTGGGACTACAGGCACATGCCACTATGCCCAGCTAATTTTGTATTTTTAGTAGAGAAAGGGTGTCCCCATGTTCGTCAGGCAGATCTCAAACTCCCGACCTCAGGTGACCTGCCTGCCTCAGCCTCCCAAAGTGCTGGGGATTATAGGCGTGAGCCACTGCGCCTGGCTCTAGTCTTTATCTACAAGAGGAACGAAGGCCTTCTGTCAGACTGCCCAGCCAGCCTTGGCCACTGATAATACAGCTCATTTTAATGAGTTACATTATCAACCAGCCCAGCTTTGCCCCACATTTAAGAAATACCACAGAGCCACTAACTCTCATATGATCTTCATCAAGCCATTATTTTAACTCAAGAAAACTCTAGAGAAGAAAAATGAAGAAGTCATGTTGAAGAAGATGTAAGAATGTCAGGACCATCCATCCAGAAATGATATGAGAAATACTGATGTTTTAAAAGGTGACATCATCCAGTGAAGTGAATCTATATTAAATGTTATTTTAACTGTGCTATGAATAAAACCTTCATATAGAGTTAGTCTTCAAAACTACTCTGTTATATTTTGCTTTTTAAAAAAAAAAAAAAAATGTGACAACATTTGTCATAAGGAAGAAAATTCTTCAAATCCTTTTGGCCAGAAAACAGTAATAGAAAGTAAATTTTGAATGTGTACTTGTCTTTATTATATTTGAAACTAAAATTTTTTTCAAAATATAAAAGCTGAATGAGGACAGCTTACATTACTAACCTAGTATGAAATGGAATTATTTAGATACCAATTTCTAAAATACTAGAGAGAATTTGTCTTTTTCCAGAGTTCTGATGATAAGTATTTGGAGTGCATTTATTCCTCCAGATAATAAATGTATGTTCAAGAGCTTTTTGTGTTTTTTAAGGCATTAATAAAGCCTTCAATAATATTAAATACAAAATGACACAGAAGTAGTGTTGCTTGCATTGGTGTCTATGTATATCTGATTTATTTGTGTATCTTAGAATATATGGTATGATTGACATGAAATTTGAGGATTTAACCTTGTAAATTCAACTTCAGCTACTAAGGGTTTAATACTTTGTAATGACTTACATTTTTCCCCTAATTAACCTAAATTTTTACCAAGAGGCATTCCCTGTGAGAATGGCAGGACTATTACCCACAGTAGAACTTCTTTCAAAATTGAATCAAAAAAAAAAGAAGAAGAATGGTGGAAATAGATGGTGACCAAGACTTATAAAAATGGAGAGACATGCAGATGTGTTAGCTGTGGCTAGGTTTTCGTATATTGGGTGCATCTGTGACTGTGAATAGACACATTACGCTTGATTTCCACATGCTGCCTTGTCCACTCTGTTTGCAAGCACCTCACTGCTTTACAATCTGTGAACACCTTTCAGGGAGGTTCTTCTGTGAATGAACGCTTTTGATCACAGGTCTGTACATAAATATGTTTGTTTTCCTATCTATCCCAGACGGGGGCCCATGCCTTCAGAGAAACTGATGGGCTAAGCTGGGCCTTTTTTGATTGTGTTTATTTGTTCCAAAGGGCTGCTCTCTGTCAAGAATTCTTAATGGTCTTCTGGAATGAAGGAGGTTGCTGTCCTAGATTTCCCATCACTGGAAAGTTTGCTTAGATCTGATGGCAATAACCAAAGGGCTATCTGATAGAGAGGGGATTAACATGTCAAGTGGGAGAATAAGCAGCAGGACTAGATAAACCGCTATAAAACCAATTTAATCACCTTCTGGAGAAGGAATTTCTTGGAAGAAAACAGGAGATGGGAGATTATATATATATATATATATATATATATATATATATGTGTATACACACACACACACACGCATGCACACATGTTTTTATATAGAAACCTACTTATATATATAAATGTCTATATACTATAGTTATAAAATGAGATTTCCCCTAAATAAAATGTCGAATGAACTTACTGCTTTGGAATAAGGAGGACTTCAGTATGTATGTACATTGAACAAAATTGCAGAAGCAGCCTTAAATCACAGAATCTCAGGATTAAGAGGGAATTTAGAAGGCATTTGATCAAATCCTTCTCAAAGTATCATCTTGCATGAAAAAAGATTCCGTTCTTATTAATGCGATAGAGAAGAAAAATGTGCAGTTATACACTCAACTAATGCTCAACGTGACCATATAACTGGCACTTTTCAAGACTCACTCACTGTTGCATTAAAGTATTTCTTGTGGGAGGGAAAATAGATAAAAAAGGAAACTTTTTAAAATAAAATTCTGCTTTAAGTTTAACATTTTAGTTTATAGTGATGCTGACAGTTTCATCACTTACGAAGTAAGTGTTAACCTATGAAGGACTGTAAGAAAAAACTCTTCATGATATGATGTTCAGGAATGAGAGATCAAAAATCCCAATTATTGGCATAAGAATTGTTGAAAATATGAGCAGAAGGGAAAGTGCCCTGAAGGCCCTAGTCTGGGAGACTCAGTGAAAGGATCCAGTGGTCCTTAGCCTGAGAAGGGTGTGTGTCACCGCTCTGTACATATTTGAAAGCCCACTGTAGAGAACATGATAGGCTTGTTCTGGCATAGTATAGAGGACAAAAGAAAAATCAGGGTCAATAAGTGGAGGCTGTTATGAGACTAACTTTGACAGGGTAATAGTGGACATATATCGAGAACTTCTCACAGCCTCATGAAATTATCCTCTGCTTTTTTAACATTTTAAAAAGAATGAAAAAAGAAAACCTCAAAGCAGACAGAGGTTAAGTCATAGCTGGAAAGTACAGAGGGGCTTTCTGAACCCAGATGGTCTGGCTCATCTCTGGGAGTCCCCTGCGAACTAGGAGTGAACAATTCATGTCTCCATGCTGGTGTCTTTGGCTTTGCTATATTTGGAGAGTAAAGAGTGCAATATGACATCATGGTTATGAGGGCTTATTCTGAAACGGCCAGCCTTCGTTCAGATTGTGGTTCCTCCACTTATTAGCTGAGGTAGATTTCTTATTCTCACTGAGCCTCAGCTTTCCTTATCTGCCATGTGCGACCGTAGGATTTACCTCATTGGGTTGTTTTGAAGGTCAATTGTTTAAATAAACACAAAGCATTTGAAACAATACCTAATAATATCTAGTCAGTAAATGCTGATATGGTTTGGCTGTGTGTTCCACCCAAATCTCATCTCAAATTATAATCCCCACATGTTGAGGGAGGGAACAGGTGGGAGGTGGTTGGCCGATAAGGGTGATTTCCCTCATGCTGTTCTGGTGCTAGTGAGTTCTCATGAGATCTGATGGCTTTATAAAGCAGTTTTCCCTGCTCTTACTTGCTCTCTCTCGCCTGCCACCATGTAAGATGGGCCTCCTCCCCTTCTGCCGTGATTGTAGTTTCCTGAGGCATGCCCGGCCATGTGAAACTGTGAGTCAAACCTCTTTCCTTTATAAGTTTCCCAGTCTCGGGTGTTTCTTTATAGCAGTGTGAAAACAAACTAATACCAATGTTGACTAAATTGTTTGGAGGTTTGGAGGTCTTCGCTTTTCTTTTTAGGTTCATCTCTTGTGAATTTCTCTTTGAAAATATGGCTGGTTCAGTTAAACGCCCCAATAGAAGGCAAGGTAGAAATGAGGAAAACAAATATGGCCCAGGCAAGTGACTCTGAATGTCCATTCCTCAGAACATGATCCTCTGTGGATAGTTCAGTGTTACATGAAAAGAAATATCCCATACTTAAGTATTTTCTTTGTGAGAAAAACATAGTTATACAAAGATCAAAAGATTCTTGACCACATGACTTCTCAGAGTCCCTAATACGCCAGAGTGCATCGCAATTATAAAATCTCCAAGAGGGACAGATTTTGCTGCATGTCAGAGACCTTTTCTTTGAAGCTGTAAGTCCTTTCTTTCTTAGACAACTCTTGAAACTATGCCACTGCTGTAAACACACTGACCAACATCCACCTCTGCCATACACAGGAGGACAAGAGGTGTTTAGCTCTCAGTCCAGTTCATCAAGCTAAGCCTCAGCCACTAATAAACCATTTACGGTGTTAGTCCTGAATAATCTTAGTAAAATCTGAACATCTGTGATTTCAAAAGATCGAGGGTCATTTCTGAACATTTTGTTTCATGCCCACCTGGAGTACTGCAAATCTACAGACAGGTGGATAACTCAGAAGGTGGTTATTAGCCCAGAGAAGCAGGTGGAAGGACTGGCGCGCTTGCATCTAGCTGATCAAATACATCTCTTCACTCTCACATCGAGAAGCAGTTACTTCTCTCAGAAGCCTGAATTTCACCTGTAAGCAACTGACCCACAATAAATTCTGGCAAGGAATACAAAACAAGTCCAAACTGTCGTGGATTTTCTTCCCAATAATTGGAAGTTCTTCCCAATAACAATCCTTCGGATACTTTTTGGTTTGGGGATTTTAAGAAAAAAGTTTCATTTTTCTTAAAAGAAGTTTTCATTTAAAAGAAAAACGTTTTAAAACTTTTTTAATTTTAAAGAAACCATTTAAAAGAAACATTTTAAAAGAAAAAAGTTTTACTTTTTCATACATCTTCCAACATGTATTGAACACCTACTCCTGGAGCTGAGGGCCAGTGATGTAACTTTATGAAGAAGTGCTCACAGATCTTTGTGAGATTTGCTGTGCTATGATGGGCACTCATCACTCACAGTATCCTTCACTTGAGAAACAAAAAGTTATCTATTGTATGGTAAGGGCTAAGGAGCACTATAGCCATATGGATCATCCCAAATAGGTGTCTTATAAGAAATGGTTGGAGTGAGAAGCAAAGAA